CGCGTTTTTTCCTTTACGGAAATAATAAAGTAAAATATGACGAAAATGCTCCTTTGTGGGCTCCATGTTAAAATTGACGCCAAACAAACAAATGTTAACAAAATTTCGGGCACTTTTATTCTAAAGCAAGCTAAAAGTAACAGCTGATAACTGACAGAAGAAAGAATGCAAATACAGAGTCACAAGCCATTGAAAAAAATTGTCAACGCCGACTATATGAAAAATCCGCAATTACTTTTTGGGCAACCCAATATTTGCTTAGGAATATTTTATGTGATCGCCAAATACGAGTTATTTAATTTTTGTAACTGCCGTTATAATCTTGCATACTATAATACCATATAAATAAAAACAAATTCCCTCGCTGCTTTTATATTAAATAAATATTTGAATATGTATAGATTCACACCGATGTTTCATATCAAAATTGCAAAGCATATTTTAACAAAGGTAAAAGTGATTTTGATGTTGAATTTGAGCTTCAAAAGCATTTTATGTATAACTAACTATCTATATAAATGTATTTCAAAGTGTATAATTTATTTTCATTATTTTAATAAAAAACTAAATTTTATGACATATTAAAAATATATACATACTACATGCAGCATACATACATGACATATATCAAAGCTCCGCAAAGAGCAACACTTGGAATTGGTCAACAAAATGTATCAAAATGAAAAATAAAAATCGAAAAGATGTTAAGATTTTAGCTTTACTGTAAAACCAAATGACTTTCCATACATATACCTATGCTAGTATGTATGTTTGTACTGCAGGTACAAAAAAATAAATAAATAAATGAAACTAAAAAATTATTGTATATTGAAATGCTACACAAAATATTTAGAAAAAATATCAATAAAAAAAAAAACAACAAAATTCTTGTATTTAGTGATTGGTTGCCAACAAACATATGTATATATAATATATATATAATATGTATGTATACAAATTATTGTATGTAGATATGTCTGTAACTGTCTGTATGTAAGTGGGTAAACTCTTAAATCGAGTATGTATGTATATTGCATTAGCTGATGTCATTAGTTGCGTACAAGTAAATTTGTTGTAAAGTGTAGTGTGTAAAAAGACAAATAATATGTGAAATAAATAAAGATTTCAAATGAGCTTTAAACAAAACCTATGGAGCGTGTATTAATTTTTTTTTTTAATTATAATTGAATTTTGCGGATTAAATGACTAAAAAATTAGAGAAAAATGCACTGAAACTAAGTAACAGTAAATCTACCACGACGGATCGAATGGTAAAATCGGTCGCTTTGTTAGAATTTTTTAAAAATGAGCTTACCACATTGCCGTTTTCCTTTACGACTTTTATTAAAAAATACATGGAATTTAGTTGTTAGGATCGACCATGATTTTTTTTTATTTATTTATATTTTTTTCACCGACTAAAATATCGTTAACGAGCTGAGAAAAAGAAAGTAAAGCAATTGCGGTCGGCTGAACTCCTGGTTGAAGGTAGCTTGTATGTACTCCTTAAAAAGAGACGACGTGTCCATAGTTATAGGAATTCTGACAGACCACTGTCTAATAGGGCGCCAGGCAGGAAGACCAGGGGCTCCCTACAGAAGAAGCTGCAAGAAGGATGAAGAGGAGCAAACGATCACCCATCTCTTATGCGACTGTCCTGCACTAAGCAGGGCGAGGTTTTGCAATTTTGGGACCCTACTGCTGGATGATCTATCGAAGATAGCTGACGTCAAAGTCATGGATCTAATGAGATTCATTAGAGAATTAAAATGAATGGAGTATGAAGTCTGATGGTTTAAGTTTTTGTAGTATCACAATGGGTCTAAGTCAGGCCTAAGTGAGTCTGTTAAATCGGTAGCCACCGCAACCTAACCTAACCTAGTTAGGTTGTGAGCGCTATAAATGAAATACAGGATTGGCACTCTTCCATGTAGACTAAAATTCGTAGAAAATTAAAGAAAAAGTGAAAATATAGAGAGGGAATTAAAAGATTAGGTGTAGTAAAAGGAAATCCAATATTTTTGTAGCTAGTCTTATTAAAACGATTCCAAGCTTAGTCTTTGGACAAGCGTAACAGTGCCTACATGACGGTCGGACTCGACACCCATCAGGAGCAGGCGGGACTAGTCTTAAGTCATCGTGGCTATTTAACGGGAGGTCCAAGAAATGTGCTGCTTTGAAGGGTGTAGACCGGAGGAGAAGGCGGTTAGATAAATGGGTTTTAGGGGGTGCAAAAGGTGATTAATGTCATGTGGGATCTCATTCTTTTATGAAATATGTCATTTTGAAGTCTGAATAAAGTAGAATTAAATCGACTACAATAGCCAGATCGAACCCTTCGTCTGCAACGGGCAGTGCTTGGATTCCGATAATGCCATTCTCTGAAATTGGGTTCATGGAGATGTTGACGGACTCTCGGTGAATGGCGTTTAAAGTCTGTCGGTAAGCCAACCTATCCAGCGGTTTGTGTCTAAGGTTTAATCTAGCGCATTCATGACAGCCGGCTCTACGCATCGTAGCTGACTGAAAATGCCTTACCTTATTTTTTAATTGCTTTTATTTGTTACTTTAGACGCACCCCTAGCAAATTTAATATTGTTTTTTGTTTTTTTACTTTGAATCACAAAATCAACCGCCACTATATCTAATTAATGTCAATGAACTTGAATTTTAACGGCACATTTGGCATGTTAATCAACATGCCCTTGAATACATTGTCGGTTGGATAGTGAAACTCAATTTGAAAATTTCTAACCAATCTCGCAATACTCAATTCCATTTCCAAATCGCTGATTCTACGACCCAAACAGGCACGCGCACCATGGCCAAAGGGCAAATATGTGAAGGGACTGCTGGCTTTCAATTGCTCCGGACAGAGCGAAGCTGCGCCATTCTTTGCTGCTGCAACGTCGCCACTTGTGCGTAACCAACGTTCGGGCAAGTACTCCAACGGACGTGCGTACTGTTGCTCACTCTGCAGTAGTGTGGTCGAGATCATGCTAACTCGCGTGCCCTTAGGCACTTGATAACCGCTCAGCACGAGATCTTTTTGTGGCACACGCATATTACCAATCGCCAAGGGGTAGATGCGCAAAGCTTCCTTCAAGCAGGCGCGCAGATAGGGCATGCTGTTTAGTGCATCAGCTGTGAACTCGCCATTCTTGTGTGGCAACACGTGCATGATCTCTGCGCGTAGCTTCGCTTGTTTCTCCGGATTTTTTGCCAAGCAGAGGAGAGCACCGGCGGTTAGTGAGGTTGTCTGAAAAATAAAATTAAAAAAAATTAAATAATAGAAAATTTTTCAAACAACAATTGTATATTACCGTATCGACGCCACCCAGCAACAAATCCATGGCCATCACCGTTGCTATTTTCTTATCAATTTTCAGTAATTTTTCCAGCACGCTCTTCTCGCTCTCTTTGCGCTCGCTGCCCTGCTGGCGCTCCGCTTCGAGTTTTTCTATGGCCTCCTTTGTATAGTTCCAAGTTATATTTTGTATATCATCCATTGCTTGCATGAGACGTTTATATTTGGGTGTGGCCACCAGACGCCACAGCGAGGGGGTGTACTCCAGTTCGAGCGAGAGTGTAAAGAAGCACTTTAAGGCGGCGAAAAGTTTTGACGCAACAGCAAAATGTTCACTCTCGCCACGTAGTAAGCCCAATTGCTTGTCCAGTGCAATGACTGCCACCGATTCCAGCGCCCAAAGTTGTAGAGTTTCCTCGAAGTTGTCTGGCATTTCCAAGGTTTCTGCATTGCGTAACAAACGGATGCTGCAAGAGATATTTACGTCACAAGAATTTACTGTTAAGTGCATACTCACCGCTCCACAAGCTCCTGATTCACTTGCGCCATTTTGCCCACATACATTTTGATATTCTTCGGCTGCATCAGCAAGGGGGTGACGACCGAACGAAATGAGCTCCACTGCTCACCCTGGCTGGTGGGTAAATTATTTATTTATCAATTTTATTTTTCTATGTGTATGTATAAATAAGAGAAACAAAAGAGTATGCAAATTCCAGAGGGAGAAGAATTGAGAAGTTGCATGCATCAGCTCCTGTGCAAAATATGGTAGGACGAAAGTATGCCCGAGGATTGCTACCTTAATGTGCTATGCCTAATCCATAAAAAAGGAGAACCGCAAAGCCCATTTGGTACTTTCTAGCCGCTGAAGCGATTCTCGGTCGAGTTCCTCCACCAGTTTTCGGTATGCGACTTGCTGTCTTCCCAACAATTGAAGGGACCTAAAGTTTATGCTTAGCCGCCTCCAAACGGCTGATGATTTGCTTATATGAGGAGCTTTGTTTCATGTCAGAAATACACTCGGAAGGGTTGACATTCCCTGCGGAGGGGCGGCCACTAATGGGAAATTTAATTAATGGAAGTTGGTCGAACGCGAACTCAAACCATGGTCCTCCGAATGGCAGTACGCAATGATAACCACTCGGCTATTGCGGTCGCCAGTGTGCGCGGATATTTTGGTAGTATTTGTATCGCTTGGTGGGACCCCCAAAGAACCGTTTCGTTCACGTTTTACTTTTTGTTTTGTTAAAAAACCTTCTAAGCTCGTGAAATTTGGTTTCTACACAACAAAATTCAAATAAAAAGTTGAAACTGAAAATCATCGAATTAATTTGTTGTGATCATGAAAGGTCTAAAGACTTTGGCATGGCAGTGCACCACTTTCTTGTTCTCTTTTAAATTCCACTTACGTTGCTAATATGCCCTCGACACCGTCATAAAAGTCAGCGCGCAGCTTACTGCGATGATAACGTAACACCTCCGAACTGGGTCTTATCGGCCAAGCACCTTCATTGCGAAAGACACGCTCAAAGTCTACCGGATTATGTGTGTAGAGTGCATCCGGTTTGCCCATTAGTCCGGGCATTACGTAAATATCACCAAATTCCTTTTGCATCGCCTTAACGAATTGCGTAGAATCCAATTTGTAATAACGGCCACCGGGCAGAAACTTGCATATCAACTTTAAAACGCTATCTCGGGGCACCTCGTTGAATGGACGCGCCTGCTGCCATTCCAACGCGGCATCGCTGCTTGTGTTGGCGCCTGCTGTGCTGCTGCTGCTGCTGCATTGGCGCTGTTGATAATGAGACGGCACGTGTTGGAACATACACATGCACAAATTTATAACAACAATCACATTTAAATGCTTAAATTTTCGGGTTTATTCAACCGCATAAATAAATTCGCTTTTTAAGGTAAAAAAAAAATTAAAATAAAAATAAATAAATAAAGGGTTTCTGAGTTATTTTTGGTGTTTATTTGTATTTACTCGTATTTATTTATTTTTATTATTTTTTTTTTTTTGGACACAATTCAAACTTACTTTGTATATTTTCAGCCAAGATTTTATATTTGTTTTGAAGACGTCTCTGCCGATCTTCATACAACGCGCATTATTCGAATGCATTTTTGCAGCGCCTTTAACGTTCACGAACCACACTTGGCCACTGCTCCAGCCAAACTACATGTTCACTATAGCATTTTCCCCAAAGCAAGATTGGAATTAAAAATAAATATTTTTCATTCATATACATATATGTTTATATTTTTTGTTTATATATATATATATACATATATATGTTCAAGAAGAGTAAATTTACTTGCTTGACGCTTTGTCGTCGTATCTATATCTCATACAGCTAATTCTTCCATCGCTTTTCTTTCGAAAACTGCCAGAGCGAACTCATCCGATGTCGTTATGGTTAGCGCGACTGCACCTTGTAACAAGGATGAGAGCGTTGATTGACTTGTAGAGTTTTGTCTTTGTTCGGTAAGAAAATGAGTCAATTTTTAAATTTCCTTTTGCGTTGGATTTCGTTTCCGAAATTATTATTTGGTGTTAATGCCCGACCGTAGATAGGCGAAACTCTCTGCATATTGCATCTTGTCCTCGCTCAATACCTGGCTTTGAACCTATAACACAGAGCATTCCTAGTCAAAAATCACACAGAGGTTGAAACCTCTCACCCTAGGGTGTCGGGTGTAGTTTTCCTTGATCTATGCAGTTAGAGGTTTCAACCTCTGGGAGATCGTATTCCACACCTACTACATCAGCAGGCGCATTTTAACTTCGCTCCGCATACTTCAGGGTTGGAATGCCGTACAGATTAAGTGTTCAGAGTCTCGGTCAATGATATTTTTATATTGTAATTTTTGATTAGGAATGCTCTGTGTTATAGGTTCTAATCACTTCGATCGACTTACCATTTCAGCTCGCTTTGAAACGTTAGTCAAAAACTGATTGTGCTTATAAATAACTCATTTGGAGGAAACATGTTGAGAGCAGTGCCAGTAAAGCGCTTCTAATGGGAAGTACCTGCGAAAAAAAATTTTGAGGCCTACGACCTCACAAGACAGAACCCATACTAGCACTAAAAAAGTGACACATTAAGGCTTTGATGCAAGTACAACGTACCTGTCTACTTTTTATTACAGTCGCAGTGAAGACTACCACCCTAAACTAGCCACCTAAAAGGTCAAGCAACTTGGGCCCAGTCCTCCAATTGTGAAGGACATGGAAGCATTCACAAAACTATTTCCGAACTCGGGCTAAACATAAAGTACGATCGAGAAACGGAAACCTTCTGTTGTCTAGATGCCATCTACTCTTTCCCTAGCAGCGTAGATTAGGAGCGGAGATGCACTCATCGAAAACAGTCAAGATATCCATATCTATACTGATGGGTCTTCTAAGCAGAGATTTAGCAGAGGTTAGGTTTTTAGTCTATAAAAGTATTTTGGATATCATCTTCACAAGCTAAGTAAACTGGAATGGGCAGAGTATGCATAGAAGATATCGACATTCTGAAGCATCACCTTTGCAAGTATCCAGCCTTCAGCTGGTTTACACGTCACATCCTCTACGATGATCTCAGAACTAATCTCACGAAGGTGGCCACGCATAATTGGATTGTTTAAGTTTTTAATTTATAAAATGGAGAGAAATTTTTGTAAATTCCCGCTTAACGTGAGAACACAATGAGCGGCTTAAGTGTAGCTGCTTGCCGTCAGATCTTTAACCGGCCCTCTCAACCATTCAATTATATCCAAAACAATTCATAATCTTCCTTTTTCCCGTCACTCTTCCACCTGGAACATTTGTAATTTTAATGGTTTTTTTTTATTTAAAACATCTTTTATTTCCAACAACCGTCAAACAATATCAGAAAATTTAAATTTCAGCGGCATATTTGGCATATTCACAAACAAACTCTTAAATGGCTTATCAACCGGATGGTGAAATTCTATTTGAAAATTTCTAACCAATCTTGCAATACCCAATTCTAATTCCAATTCACTTACTCTCCGACCCAAGCAAACTCTGGGACCAACACCGAATGATAAAAAGATGAGGGGATTGCTCGTTCTCAACGCTCGCACAGCCTCCTCCTTTGGTGGGTTTTCGGTAGCCGTTGTATTCGAACGCAGCCAACGTTCGGGCAGATATTCCAACGGACGAGCGAAGTATTGCTCGTTTCGGTATAGAGAAGTGGCTACCATATTCACCACCGTGCTTTTGGGCACTTTGTAGCCACTCAAAACGATATCACCCTGTGTCACACGCACAACACCGACTGATATCGGGTAGATACGCGCCGCTTCCTTAATGCAGGCACGCAAATAGGGTATGTTGGTGAGTGCATCTCATCTAAAGCTTGCATGTATCGCCTGAATTTCGGCGTTGGTATGCGCCGCCACAATGAGGGCTTCCATTCTAAATCGTAGGCGAGTGTGAATATTTTATTCAAAGCGGCAAACATTTTCAGCGCTTCTGCGTGATTTTCATTGTGCTCACGCAACAAGCCGAGAGGCTGGCCGAGCGCCACAACTGACAGAGACTCTACCAGCCAACACTGTAGATTGTCCTCAAAATCCCTCGGCACCTCCAGCTCCGCTCACCTTGTCTGAAAGTCATAAGAAAAAATTCAGAAAAATTACAACTTATTCTGACAATTATCACAAAATTCGAATGCAGGCGCCTAAAACTATACCATTATTTTTCAATTTCTGTCATACTTTTAAGCGCCTGACTACTGTTTTTTCTTTGTGAGCCTCGTCAGCTACTTCTAATTGCCTCCTACCCACGTTGACAGCACACCTTCGACTTCCTTATAAAACTCGGCATGCAATTTGTTGCGATGATAACGTAGGGTTGCGAAAGGTCTAACGGGCCAGGTGCCTTCTTTACGAAAGACCCGCTCAAAATCTGCTGGATTGTGCGTAACCAAGGTGTTCGGCCGTCCCATAAAGGCGGGTACGATGAAAATATCTCCATGATCCTTTTTCATTGCCATTTCCAGTTCATTGGAGTCAAATTTGTTATAGCGGCCACCTGGTAGAAATTTACTTAGCAATCGCAAAACATCATCTCTTGGTAATTCATTGAAGGGGCGCCCGTCGCCATTCTAGAGTTGCTTCAGTGGCGGCTTGTTCGAGTGCTCTGGGTTGATGTGCGGGACAATGAGTTTCTGGCAGCTGTTGATATGGAATTTATTTGGAAGTCAACTAAATTATTTCTGAGTGCTCAAAATATTTTTATAATATCCTACTCGTTCAAGTATCTCGATGCAATCTTTAACAAAAAAAAAAATTTAGCTGGAGAAAACAAATTGAGAGCAGAGTCAGTGAAGCGCTTCTGCTCTGTCGAAGAGCTATTGCGTCACAATTGGGTCTACCACCATTTTACACAAGTGTTATAAGACCCACACTAAGATATGGAGCCTACGGTGGTGGGCGTCACTAAAGAAGAAGTGTCTTATTAAACCTTTAGAGCAATTGGAAGGTCTCTGCTTACTTGGCGCAGAAGACCCGGTGGGGTCTGGGAATAATCCTTGACATCAAATCAGTGACCTGTATGTATGACGTATTAAGATATTTAGTATGCGCCAAATCCTGAAAAAAAGGAAAGACTCCCACCACTTTTTTGTCGATTTCTAAGCTGCCGTCGATAGCGCGTCGCCGCTAAGTCTGAATCTTTTATCTTCTCAAAACTATAACAACTATGCAAACTGGCGCTGAGTAACACCAAGAGCCCCATCAGAATTATTAAAGCCTTTCCGAGTCGTTCGGTACAAAATGAGATTTCAGAAAAGGTAATTACGTGTACTTCAACCAAATGTTGGAGAAAATAATGCGAGCTGCAGAGCTGAATAGAGAAGGTAGTCGTACAATCTTCTGAAAGTGGGTACAGATACTGGAGGCACTGAAATTTCTACTTTCTCCAAACTTGATAAGGAAAGGAGGTGAATAAGTCTGGTGGGAAATGCGGATAGGACGAAATCTCTCCTGTCATCAAACAGGCAGACATTACTTTGAGATTTCAGACGATTTTGTCTATCTAGGAATATAAACAAAAACAACAATGTCAGCCTGGTGCTACTTTTCACGGAGTAGACCATTGAAAAGAAAATTTCTCTGTCGACAAAAAAGACCAAGCTTTTCAAACCACTCATCGTTCTCTTCGTGAACGTTGTCAACATCCGTTGAGTCGGTTTTGGGAGTCTACAAAATATATGGCACGTTCGAGGCATTAAAAGATGGGGATTACGCCAGCTGAGTCGTGTCGTTCGTATGGTAAAAAACTCGAGTTCTAAGAATGTTCGAACATTAAAAGGTATTTTTGTTGGTATCAGCATGTTTTAGGAAAAGATCAAGACGGCTACCACAAACTGGAGAAACAGCTCAGTCAAAAATCACTTCAGCGCTTGGGTTAGTAAAAATTAATCCATTATTTTTGCTATAAAATGTAGGCTTCTTTCACCGATAAAATTATACATCTTTTTTCAACTCTTCTGTCACACTTAAAGTAATGTCATTATGTTCCTCTCAAAGAATCCCTTGTCCTTGGAACAAATTCAAATTTTGGCAAATTCTTCACCTGCCAAATCTATCGCCATAGCCAGGAACAGCTGATAGTCACTTGGGGCGATGTCCGTACTATATGCTGGATGCATAAGAACTTCCAAACCAAGCTCTTGAAGTTTCTGACGAGTTACTATCGATGTATGCGGTCTGGTGTTGTTCTGAGGCAACACCATTTCCCTGCTGTTGACTGAAGCGTGATTGCTTCCTTAAGACGGTTCCATTGCTGACCGTACAGGTCCAAATTGAGAGTTTGATGGCCAATCACACTAAATACACAACAAAACCTTTCAAGCCTGGACACAGTTTGTGTCGACTCGCTGCCCTTCGAACCTTCTATCTAGAAATATTAGGTGTACAACTTTGATGTCGAAGGCAAACAAGGTTATGATTTATATTTGGTGGGATCAGCTCGGTGTGATTTACTATGAGCTCTTAAAACCGGGTGAAACCATCACAAGAGATCGCTACCTAAAAGATCGCGCGCTAAAAGAAAAGCGACCACAACGACAATGCTCGGCCTCACGTCGCAAAAGTGGTCAAAAAGTACCTGGAAACGCTGAAATGGGAAGTCACCCGCCGTATTCCTCAGATGTCGCCCCTTCTGACTTCCAACTATTCCGTTCGATGGCACACGGCCTGGCAGATCAACATTTTCAATCCTTCGAAGAATTGGAAAAATTGATTGCTTCATGGATAGCGTCAAAAGAGGACTCCTTTTTTCGAGACGGGATCCGAAAATTGCCGGAAAGATAGGAGAAAGTTGTCGCTAGCGAAGGACAATACTTTGAATAATATGTCTCTAAGCACTTTTTCGCAATAAAGCTTTTAATTTTGGAAAAAAACGGCGGAAGCAAAGTTGTACACCTGATAGTTCGATTTTGTTAAGATTCAGCAATAATTCGCAGATGGAAATTCGGTCCATGAGGTTTTTTCTTATCAATTTAGTCGAGACCCACACGTCAAGGTTCTTTGTGCTTCCAGCCTATTTCAGGTGGTGCCGAATTTGTAGAATAAAGCGTATTACCCTTTTGCTGCTGATCAACACTCCTCGCATTATGGTTTTAACACAAAAATTTCGTCTTTTTAACGCCATCTAGCGTAGTCCAATCCTACTTATAGGACGCGAGATACAGATCACTAAGACCATCAACCTATTCATATAATATAATAATAATGGATTATTTTTTACTAGGCCAATATATGGACAATATGTTTTTTTTTCTTCTGCGTTCAAAAAAAATTCCACACTCTTATGTATATACTCATACATATGTACATACATCACTCGGTATTCAATTCACCTTTTCTGTTGCCAGCAAACGCTCACAATTCGCAAACCCTCTGATGCCACCAATTGCAGCACAATTCATTCTCGCGTAAAACATTTTGACAAATAAATATTTTTTAACCAAACGCCGGCACCGTTGGAGCTAAACTGACTTTTCGTATTTCGTATTTTATTCCAAAAACCATAATAAATTTGAGAAGCATTCATGGGTGCATACTCGTATGTATGTATATGTATGTATGTAAGTTATAAATAATTTTGTAGATAAGTAAATTACATTTAATTTTTAAATTTTTTGCTATTGGAGTTTTTTCTTAATTTTTCTTTTTTGAAATTCGCTTCTTAAATTCTTACGAGGCAAATCCAGAGAGTAAATGTGTGGAAGCCCTCACGGCTACCCTTTGCAACGAGACCGGCTCGAGGTAAGATCCTTGAGAAATGTCGACGCGACAGCACGCTTCGTGAATAACGTCCGTTAACTCGTTTAGAAGGGAAAACCTCCGTTTGGGATATGTACTCGTATATGATGAGTGGAAAACTGGATATGGTGTGCAAAGCATGATGAGCAGATTGACTGTACACATTCCCCCGATCTAGCATCTTCAGAAAACTAATCTCTTTACTTTCCTAAAGCTGCATGTGGGTGGAGAAGTTTTTCAATCCACCCAGAGGTAAGGACGGAAGTGAAGAATTGGACGAATTGGTTGGCTGGAATCAACTTGATACCTTGAGGTGAAGGCCCTTATAATAATTATAGTTGGCGCTTGGCACCTGCTGAAGCGATTTTCGGTCGAGCTCCTCCTCAAACTTGAGATTTTGCGTCCTGATGTTTTTCCAACAAATGGTGGCACCTAATGTTTATACCAAACCGCCTCCGAACGGCTAATGGTTTTTTTTATCGGGAGCTTTGTTTCATGTCAGAAATACACTCGAAGTGGTTGATATTCCCTGCCGAGGGGTGACCGCAATTTGAAAATTTAACTTAATTTGTTATTTAAATTAATTTTCTATAACTTTTTTGCATGTCGGTCACATCAGGATTTGAACCCTGGTCTTCCAAATGGCAGTACGCAATGTCTACGACTCGTCTACGGCGTCCGCACTTACTTTCTGGATATGCCTCGTACAATAAGTTCGTTTTTTCGACATTTTGCTTTCTTACATATCCGAATTTTAAATATTTTAAATATTTTACTTTTAATTAAACAGAATCTCTGATCAAGCTCTTTAGGAAACCTAACGCGTAAAACTCTTCAAATATGAATCAGTTAAAGCGTCTACACACGAAGCTATGTGAAAGTTATTTGGCAAAGGTTGATTTCAGACTAATTGCGAGTATATGAATAGTCGTTTAAAATGAGACATCTTATTCTTATTTCTAAAGAAAACTCCGAGGGCCGACAGGTCGAATGTTGGTATCGTTCAAGCCTGGAATGGGATGGGTTGGTAATTTATAGAGTTTCATTTTTATTCGATTTTTCAATTGTCTACTCAGTCCAATCCAACAGGTCCTACGAATTTCGGAACTGACATTGTTGTTATTATTATGAGTATCAACAATCACGTGGCAGTCAAGATCGGCATGCGCTGACAGTCGTACATTCTTATAGAAGACTGCATCTTCTCGGTTTGGCTCTGCAGCTCGTACTATTTTGTGCAGCATGGATAAATAACAGGATGTGGTAACGAACGGCTCAGAGAGGTCTTTCCTAATTCTGACGGAGCTTATAGTGTTGCCTATTGTCAGTTTTACATAAGAGTATAAGTCTTCCGGATGCAATAGACGAGTGTTTAGCTTTGCATACTACCATTCTGGAGGTCAAGATTCGAGTTCTGGTTCGACCAATATTCAAAATTATAGAAAATTAAATTTTTTTACTGCGGTTGCGCCTTGGGAGAGAATATCAAGCCCTCCAAGTGTATTTCTGACATAAAATAAAGGCTTCTCATCAAAATCCAGCGACCGTTCGGTGGAGGAATAAACTTTGGGTCGCTCCAGTGGTTGGAAAATCATCAAGATGCATGCCACAAGTTGGAGAATAAACTTATACATATTAGTCTTGCGGTGACCCAAACTCAGATATAGCGGGGTAAAGTTGAGTTACTTTTCGTAAACTTTCCTAAAGCTGCACTGATGACGTCCAAAAAATTTGTTCTGCGTGGACTTTAAGCTTTCGCATAATACACTCAATAGAACCTGATACATATTATTGAAGAGACTGACCTCATGGTATTTGACGTCGATTGTGGAATCTCTTTTTTTGTCGATTGGGCAGTACACACTAAGTTCCAGTCGTCATATATGTCAATTTTATAAAGAAGCTGGTATGACAGCTTCTCAGTTCTTCCCCCGTCATATCTCATTCGCTCTGCGGCTTGACCAACTGCTTGGATGGCTTTGTTGCTCTTCAGGCGGACAGTTGCTATTCGCATATCATTTGCTTAAGTGAAGAAATATATGTATATTCCGTCGTAATCGAATGGGATTTGAAATTTTTCATTTTACTTTCATTCAGCAGGCTGGAGAAGTGTTCCCTTTAGAAACTCAGTGGTTAGTAGAACAAGTCTTAATACGAAAACTAATTAAAAAATTAAGATCAATCCTTGTTGGTAGCCTGTTTGATCGCGAGCACTTTCTTGCCTCAGAATATGCCAAAAAAAAAAAGCTTAGCCATAAGATCAACAAGATCAAAACTTGTATCTTTACTGGAGACGGCCTCTCAATGTAAGCTGAAAGAGTAGGTTCATAGCCTTTAGGCGACGAGTACTTTCAGTCTTTCTTGAAGATTAACTGGTATCCTGAGCTTGCGGGTATCAGCGAAATCAGTGTGCGTGCCTCTATGTACAGTAAGCCGTTGGACTTTCGAGACCCTAACGAAGAATGACTGGTACAAAACTGTTAGGCAAAAATGCTAAATAGATCGTAAAGGTTTGATAAAGATAAAAGAAAGGTTACAACCCAGATCATTGAAATATATTCATTTGAAATTAAAGAGAGAGAGAGGAAGTGTTGAACGTGTGTTCTCTAAGTATATTGTCTGAGAAATATGAAGATGTGAGTAGTTCAGGTGTGTAGTCTAACAAATTTGCAATGAACAGTGAAGAATTAGATAAAAGTGAATGATATTCATAAAATCTTCGTCATGTCCACTCATATTCTTGCGCAGGTAATCGAGCCATACATCACAACTTCAAAGTTTTAGGAGCTCTGGATACTTATGCTCAACAACATGCATGATGTATGGACACGCTGACGATTGTCTACCCGATGAGATGAGCCGAAGAACATTTTGCACAGTAAATCGTGCGTGTAAGCATACATCGGCTTATGAAGGGTAAATTCAGACAATCCTTACCATCCTAAATACTTCGCACATATGTACTCGCATATTGAACCATTTCCCTCTGAAAAATGAATTGGCAAAGTGTTTTAAATATCGATGAACGCAGGGAGCTGCTCATCCTTGGAACCAGCGAAAGGAGAAGGAGAGGCCTGACGATTGGACGTTGATCTGACGTCCATAACTCTTAAACTTATTTGGAGCTCACGTCTGATGAACCATATTAGAGGAAGCTCCAGGCAGGTTCAAGCTATATATTGCTTTTCGACACGTTTTTGGTGACTTAGAATTTATTAAGATAATTAAAATTTTATTTTTCAGTACTTTTCGCAATTTATTTACCGTAATATTTTATTGAAAAAGTACAAAAATATGTTTACACGCAAATAAATTTGTCTAATCAATGTCAGTGAATTTGAATTTCAACGGTAAATTCGGCACATTAATCAACATGCCCTTAAACGCCTTTTCCGTTGGATAATTGAATTCTATTTGGAAATTCCTAACCAATCTCGCAATACCCAAACCCACCTCCAATTCACTTATTCTCCGACCCAAACACCCACGCGGCCCAAAACCGAAAGGCAAATAAACAAATGGACTACTCGCTTTGATTGACTGTACGCAACCCTCCGGCGGTACGTCGGTATCACCACACTCACGTAGCCAACGTTCGGGTAAAAATTCCAACGGCCGAGCATAGTAACGTGCGTTCGCTTGCAGCGTAGTAAAGATCATGCTAACGTAAGTATCCTTCGGCACTTGATAACCACTCAGTACGAGATCATTTTGTGGCACGCGCATATTGCCAATCGCCACTGGATAGACACGCAGCGACTCTTTCAGACAGGCGCGCAAATATGGCGTTTTAGACAAAGCATCCTCGATGAATTCGCCATCTTTTTGTGGCAACACGCGCTTTACTTCCTCGCGCAGGAGCGCTTGTTTTTCCGGATGCTTAGCCAAACAGAGTAAGGCGCCAACGGCGAGACTGGAGGTCTGCGGGTAAATTGCATGAATTTACGGAAAAAAGTTAAATTAAATTTGAATTCATCTTACCGTATCAACGCCCGCCATCAACATATCCATGGCCATTACCGTTGCTACTTTCTGATCTTTCTTCAACAAACGCTCCAAAATACTCTGCTCGTGCTCGGGTCGTGCCTTGTAGCCTTGTTGGCTTTCCAGCTGAAGTTTTTGAATTGTTTCGTTTATGAACCTGCCAGTTAGAGTTTGTATATCATCCATGGCGCGCATCAGACGTTTGAACTTCGGTGTGGCTATGTAACGCCAAAGTGTCGGCTTATAATCCAAGTCGAAGGATAATGCCATGAACACATTTAGCGCCGAGAATAGACGCAATGCGTCGGCAAAATTTTCACCTTGATCATCGCGCAGCAGACCCAAACGCTTATCTAATGCCACCACAGCGACCGACTCGAAAGTCCAACGTTGTAGGCACTGCTCAAAGTCAGCGGGCATCTCCAAGGTTTGCGGATCACGTATCAAACGGATTCTATGTGGGCACAGGTATCGGCGTAAATAACAAAAATAAATGTAAATGTTATGGCATTCGAATCACCTGTCGACAAATTCCTGATTCACTTGTGCCAACTTCTTCGCATACATTTTGATATTTTTCGGCTGCACTAGTAGGGGATTCACGACTTTTCGAAACGCGTTCCACTGTGCGCCTTGTCTGTGAGAGCGACGAGTGTAAATATTAAGATATAATTTTTATTATTTATTTATTTAAAATATTTTTTTTATAAAATTTCACGCTCACGTCGCTATTGCGCCCTCCACGCCCTGAAAGTAGTCTGCACGCCATTTATTCCGATGATAACGTATAGTTTCCGAGAAGGGTCTTATTGGCCAAATACCTTCGTTGCGAAAGAGATTTTCAAAGTCATCTGGATTGTGTGTTACTAAAATCTTAGGGCGTCCCATCATGGCGGGCAACATGAAGAAGGGGCCGTAGTCCTTGAGCATAGTCGCCACGAGATCATTGAAGTCTAATTTGGCATAAGCGCCGCCGGGCGAAAATTTCAAAATCAATTTTAATGCATTCACTTTTGGCACCTCTTCAAAGGGACGTGCCTTCTGCCAGGCCACCAAGTTGGCTTCATTTACTTGCTGTATAGTTCCAAGTTGACTTGCGCTGACGTCTTGCTGAGAAGCCGGTTTCTGTCGGACATTTTAATATGTTTATATTTGGGGTTATTCAACTCAGCAACAAAAATAAATTCTGACAATCAACAAACATACGCTTCGCCCTTAATTATTATAAGTTTTTTTGTATTTACCTTTGTTGTTATAAAACGAAATGCCGCTGGTGCGAAGGTCTTAGCAATGTATCCTCCACTGTTGGTTGTCACTTTTCTTAACAACATTTTATAAGCGTAAATTTTTCGACAAACCCAACACGATCACTACCTCATTGAGACTAAAAGTCTGTGTCTTTCCGAAATAACTTTTGGCTGCTCATGATGCATCGCATTATTTTGTGCAGTCTTCTGTTCATATGAAGATATTTATTCTCTCATATTAATACGAGGTGTGTTCGAAAAGCGTTGGGAATTCTTTATTATCCGATTTACGATTTTCGATCTTTTAGGCGAAACCACTTGGAGAGCAATTACAAGTGCGACAGTTTGGTGACCGAAGCCAGTGACGAGACCCCTCTTTACCGACTGAGGGCGTCTCTGGAGAGCAATCAAAATTACAACAGATCGGTGATCGATCTCAATGACCTCTCTTTACCAGCTGATCTGGAGAGCGATTACAAGTACGATATGTCACTGACCTAATTCAGCGATGAGACCCTTCTTTATAGACCGAACGGCGAGACTGGGGAGCAATCAAAAGTACAACAGATCGTTGACTTCTAGAGTTTGGTCTTTGTTCCTCGGAGAGGACATTCCGTTATAATTGTCTACTTAGTCCAGACAAATCTTCTCTTGGCAAAGGTGATTCGACTTTAATATTATATTTGGACTGTCAACAGCGACGTGGAAGTCGAGTCACGAATGCAATGACTGTTTATTTAATGACAGGATGTATTCCGTCTTGCCCTCATTTGCTCCCTTATCAAGTCTAGAGAATATAGAACTCACGGCACGATTGTTGAAGCCACTGTTGTCCTGTCCTGCTGTACATTCTTACAGCTCGGCAGCACGCATTATTACTTTTATTATTACTAAGTAAAGTCTGTGTAGTACCATTCGTTTTAAGGCGAGCTCAAGTGAGAAGACGGACTACTGAGTCTGAGTTGAAGTCAACAACGGGTAAAAAATCCTCCCTTTCAATTTACCTAAACGGACAGGAGTACTACCGTCGGCTCAATCATTAGCCATGGAAACACTTCTAATTTATTCTTCCTCTAGATCTGTGCGGTAAACTTCAAGCGAACTGCAACGCTATTAGACTGAAAGCAGCTTTGCTTTGGAAACACGGCGCAACATGGCACGCACGGATGCTGTCTCTCTCTTCTTCACATGAAATAAATGGGAATTTACACATGCTCTGCATCAGAGTGGAATAGTCTTTATCACAGGTGATTTTAAACTCGATGAAAGTGTGAGCTGTGAAGCTCACTCACCAACGCTCTTAGGCAATTTTAGATTTAGGCTATAAGACTATTGCATCGTTTTTGAAGCAGAATATTTGTTCGGATCTCTGGTTACAAGTCAATCAATCACTATATGCTCGGATAGCCAAGCTACCATCAGATCTCTTTAATGTGATGCAGAAACACCTTAAACAAACTCTAGGAGAGAGGCAAAATAGTCGTGGTCTCCGAGCATGGACTTATATAGGGATATCACAGGTAACTGTGTGGCGGATAAGCTGCCAAGAGGAGGTATCACTCTCAGTACAAGAAATTCTAAGCACGTCATGGGTGTAACTCTCACTCACGCTGAAGCTGGCTTTTACCAAAATAGACAAAACCAGTTGGGTTAATGAAAGAACTTGGAACGAACTAGGTAGCATTGTCTTGTATTGGGCACCAAAAGATCTTGGCATCTATACCGCTTAGATCAGTTCACTATCCATGCAACAACTGGTATACAATTGGACACTGTTTAATGGAATTTTTCGATTGATTTTTGTCGTACTAGCAGGTGCGAGGAAGAAGAAGAGTTTGTTACCTCTACCCGACATAAACACTATACGAGATAAGTACCTAGGATAACAGTTCTTCGATTGCCTGGCTGACGTAGCAAACGAAGATGTAGGCAAAGGGTTCATCTGTGTAGGGGAGAATAAAACCGCAGCGGTATCACAATGGCCCAACATGGCAGCTGCCGCAACAACTCAACCCATCAGCTTAAGCTGAACAAAGTTGTGAAAATAATATGTATTGTACGTTATGAAATCTACTACTTACTACGTTTTTTCTTCTTATACGGCTGTGTCTGTGTGTTTGTTGTTTTGTTTATATGGTGGCGACTGCCAAGTTCGTTTCTACAAATTTTTGTTAAATGTTCCGAAATCTACCAGGCGCACATAAATGTATGGCAAGCAACAATCGTCACCAGCCACACACACAACAAGGTTTACATACAGTTTCGAAAGTGTACTACACCCTTGACAACATTGGCGTTGCATACTTTTAGGCAACGGAAATTGCATGTTGCTGAGTGTTCGCTGTCACTGTCACTCTACACTTGCGAAGTGTGTCAATAAAATACTATGCAAATAAAAGAGCAATAACATTTTATTTTTAAATTAATTTTTATATCAAATTCATAAATATTCATTTATTCAGTAAATTGTTTTACAATAAATTTATAGAAAGATTATACAATTTATATATAATATATATGTAAATGTAAATGTACGATATTTCTCAAACACCAACTTAATTAGAGTATACATAATTAGGATTTAACGATACAATAGATGTTTATCAAATACAAAATCTTGTTCATACATGAATAATTTTCTTTTATTTTATTTTTATTTTTTAATATATGTATTTGCCTTTAGTAAATATGTATGTATGCATGAATTTTTACGATTTAGGTTACGATATTTTGTAGGTTCAATAAAAATAATAAGGAAATATGATATGAAAATATTGCATAAAGAAACATATTTGTGTGTAAAGTGAGTGTAATTACAGTTACAACAATGATAAATGTATGGAAGTAAAAAGTATATTTAATGCAAAAAAAAACTACAGAAAATAAAACTTAAATTTTTTACAAAGAAAAGTATATACTTATATATGTATTTACCCAGCATGTAGATTTTCAACATTTTACATAAATTTTTGTAATTATTACGAACGAAAATAGAAAAGTTTTTTATAAAAAAATTTAACTCGTATAAATTTCTTTTATGTTTTAAAGCGTTTTTTAGTAAATGAATTTGGAGTATGAAAATCGGCACAAATTCCAAAATTTAATTTTTGATTTTTACTAGAAGAAATATACACACATAGATACACGTATGTACATACATATACCACTTAGAAAAAATATAACTTTTAGTGCAATCAAAAAAAAAAAAAAATTAAAAGAATCCTTGCGACTTAAGGGGCCAGCCAAGCAGAGCGCTTTTTAAACGCTATTTTTAACATCGAACTTTACTTTTAAATAATTATTTTTCTTTTTAGAAAACACTTTTACAACAACAAAAAATTTAGCTTGTAATTTGGTTAAGGTTTTAAAGTATTCTTCAGTAAAAGAATTAAAAAAAATCGAAAAGAATTTGAAAATTCGAGAAATTCAAAATTTTTGTGTTTTACTTGTAGAGAATATAAGTATGTGCATACATATGTACTAATGCTATTGGAAAAAAATTAACTTTTAATACAAAAAGAAAAAATTTAAGAAAATGCGATTTAAGGCTGACCAAATCGATCGCTTTTTCTACATAATTTTTTATTTCGATTTTTTTAAGGCTGTATTGATGTATTGATTAATAATCTGCTTAAGGTTTTGAAGCATTCTTAAGTAAAAGAATTTTTAATATAAAAAAAAATCGGAAAGCAGAAGTTTTGTGTTTTACTGGAGGTGAATATACGAATGTATATACATATATATTATATAAAAACCAAAATCCAAAAATGCTTCCGAATTATATTATATATACATATATCGTATATATACAATATTTTTATTTCGAATATAGTTTTTTAATAATTTTTATTTAGAAACAGTATGCAAAAAAATATTAAAGCTCATAAAAATCTTTTAAGGTTTTGAAGTATTTTTTAGTAAATAAATTTTAAATATAAAAAATCCAAAGTTTCATGATTTTTGTGTTCTAATCAAAGTAAATTTACATATACACATACTTTTTATATTCCTAATTTCGTTTTTAAATATTTTTATAATTTTTATTTTTTTGTTTATTTTTTTTTATTTGATTGCAAAAATTGCTTCCTTTATAAAAATTATTATGATAGTTTTAATATATGTATATGTATGATTTTTTTTTTTGAAATTTGGCACTTTATTAAGCGAAACAAAAGGCTTACTTTGGAAAGTGTTTAATATATTTTCTAATAAATAAACGATTTTTTACATACATATTTACTCTTCCATACTTTTTATAAACAATGTTTCGAGTTTCATTTATATGCATTGCATAACGGTTAACTAATTAATAAAAGTAAGTATACAAATTGTTTTCTAAAGCGAGATTAAATAATTTTCTAATTAAAAAAAACAATGAAAATGACAGTTTTTCACGGGAGTTTAGTGAAAAAACAACGCATGAACATAAATCTAGAGCAAATATTCAGAGCGCAAAATGAAATGTGTCTGCCACAACTTCTGTTAGATTTCCCAATTCGCCGCATTATAAAGCAAAACTTAAGTGTCTAGCACGTTTATAGTGTCATATATATACAATTTTTTTTTAACATTTACCAAATTATGTGCGAAATTTCAAAAACATTGGTTTTTAGACGAAACTAGAGCAGCTCTTGGTGACCAAAACAAGTGAGATGTTTTTTTTCGTTTTGTTGAAGGCTTTTAACAATTAAAGAAGTTTTCCTTATAGAAATCGAAATCGAAAACGAAACCACTATTTGTATGTATGTACATTTTAACTGTATATCAAATCATATCATTCCCCTTGCTGCTGCAGCTGCTCCGTCAACGGCTGTTGATAGCTGCATACAATTTTCGCCGCATCGTTCATCATTTTCGCCGTGGAACGCACCAAGAACATTAAATGACATTCATCATAGACCGTTAGTTCGACACGCGTGCGCACGAGTCCGTGCAACACAGTGGCACGCTCCAGATCCAGCCAACGCTGTAAGGCCAGCTCACGTTCTTTAGTCGAGCCCGAGAGCACTACGTCCGATGGACCCCAGAGCACAAATTCCAATACAGATTTAGCCTTCGACAATGATTCGGCGCGTTCTTGCGACAATATATCCGCCACGATTGGTGTGATCTTGGTCGTTGGCAGCAGTTCGGTTAGAGCGATGTGTGCACATTTGCAGAGCGTGCCCATGGATTCGTCTTCGTCATTGTTGTTGCTAATAAGTTATTTAAAAAAAATTTTTTTTTTTTTTTTTTTTTTTTTTAGTAATTTTATAATCAACCATCACTTACCCTTGCAACACGCAGAGACGTGCTTGCGCATCCTTATTCTCCACATCCTTCGATAGCACCACATTGGACAAGCTCAATGGCATCTCTTCGATTGCTTTGGCCTGCAAATTCTTCATGCCGTTCACCAGCTGCAGCATGATGAAAGCCACTTCACGTGTCATGACATCGTCGAAAGCGGGCATACCCGCTGCCGTGCCACACTCCCCGCCTGCCGACTCCAGCGAAGCGCTACCACACTTCTCCAACGAGGACTCTTCATTTAGTGTGCTCAAATTCTGCACTGACATCACATTGCGTAGCGCATTCGCGCCGGCGCAGTCCTTCAAACCCGCCGTTGCTGCCAAATTCGGTATAGAGCCACGGAAGTTAAAGTTACTCTTGTCGAGCACCTGTGATTTGCCCTTCAATATGGCGCCAATCGATTGTAGTGTGTCCAGCTGTAGGCGTGGCAGCACCGATATGGTCGCTTGCAACAGTGTGACGGCTGTCGAAGGCATTAACGGCAAGTGGTAACTGGGCACTATATCGCAAAATTCCGTTATTGGATTGAGCACACCGCAAATGCCACCCGACAGCTGATTCAATTCACCACCAAGACCGGATAGTTGATTGCAATCGGCCGATAGTGCCAGTGTGACGGGCGCTGTGGTCCACAATGCCGCATGGAAGGCTTTCTTGCCCACCACAAATGCTTGCGCGCCGTCTAGTATGGTGAAATCCTCGAAACGCAAGTTGATGGCATTGGCTAGTGGACGGAGCGCAGCCGGTATGACGGGCGTTTGCTGGAGCTGCAAGCAAAGAAAAGGTAATTGTTGAAAAAATAACAATGTATGTGTAAGTATGTAAGCGGTGTGGTGAATTACCTGATCCAGCACCTGCGCCAAGGCTTCATGATTAGCCACAACCACTGCGGTGTAGTTGTCCTCTATGGTTTTGTGTACGACGCTGCGTCCTTTACGCATACGCAAACGATTTGTAGCTTTTGCACGTTGCTTGATGGCCTGAGGGGAAGGAAAATGGGTAGAAAATAAAATTGAATAAAAGATAAGTGCAGAAAGTAAAGCAGCGCAAGATGTCGGTGGTTGGAATGATGCATTCTAATATAATTTTATAAGCGCAGTTGACCTCTAACAGCTTGATTTAATTATAATTAGGGAGAAAACTTGGGTTCTGACCTAGAAGGTAAGTAGAGGATTCTTAAGACATTTCTCTTATGGCGGACGTCTATGGCGTATAATCATCGACTCAACTTGTCTCGAGGATCCAGGCACAAGACGCACAATTAAGGTGCCCATGTCGTAAACGATTAAATTTCTACCTTCAAAGACTTTGCCACGTAAGTATATTCAGTATGAAACAGATTCTCCAACGAATTTACTCACTCATTTGCATGCCTATTTAAACCTACGTAGAGAAGAACATTTTCTCTTTATGGTTTAATCCCATTGAATAAACTAGTTTTTAGGTTAGGTTTTCAGTCATACGGCCTTAAGAACAAATCTAATATTTAGTTGCCGATTGGGTAAGAGTGAATGCTACGAAACAATGGCATACCTCTTCCAGCCATGCATCGGCAGCCATTTTCACTTTACATAAATATACCTCACAAACTCTCCTAACCAATACTCAGTTCATGGAATATATTCTATATTTTAATGCTGAAACTCAACTTACCGATGGTATGCCCCATACGCTGTCATTGATATCCGTAGCTACATCACCGCCTGCCTCGCTGCCATAATAACTGTATGGCGCATAAATTTCAAATTCGCCTACTTCGCTGCCACAGTATGAGGCAGAAATTATGCGTGGAATGTTGGCTGCAGGAAGGGGAGATAAAAAAGAAATTAAAAAATAAATAAAAGATAAAAATATAAATTTTAATTAATATAAATGGTAATAAATAAAAAAAAAAAAGATAAAAAGAATATTAAATAAAATAAATTAACAAAAAAATATTACAATATTAAAATAATTTAAATTAAATAAAAAATAAATTAAAATAAAAAATAATAAATAAATGAAATAAAATAAAATAAACTAAAATAAAATAAAATAAAATAAAATAAAATAAAATAAAATAAAATAAAATCGAATGAAATAAGATAAAAATAAATAAAATATATTAAAATAAAACCAAATTAAATAAAATCAAATAATTAAAATATATTAAGACAAAATGAAAACAAAATAAAAAAAAGAAAAATATATAACAAAATGAAATAAAAAAAACAAAACAAAATAAATTATTCTATAAAATATAATAGAAAAAGAAATTTAATATAATGAAGTTAAATGAAATAAAATTAAATAAATCCAAATAAAAAAAGTAAAATAAAATGAAACTAAACAAGTAAAGTGCATATAAAACATTTACCTAAACTATTGTTCAAACCGTAATTGCGTGCCGGCCCGTATTCACTGCGCGTATAACTCGCCACCGACATTGTGTCAGAATACAAATTGCCGCCACCGTTGCCGCTAGCAACGTTATTACCCCGTCGGGGTGGCATCAAACGCTGACCCGCCGTCAAATCAACGGAACGCGTTGGCGGCAATGGTGGCGATGAAGGACTCTTCACCATTTCATACAAATTCTCGTATTCGCGCTTATCCTTTAAGTAACTGTCAATGGTACTGTTAATTTTACGCACCGAATCCTTCAAACTTGTCGGACGTCCTTCATTGTTATGGTTGCTAGCTGCCGCGACACTAGCATTATTATTGTTGCGATTTTCGAAAATTTCCAATTTATTTGCAATTGCAATTTTCGGATCGCTTTTACGGCGTTCAAAGGTACTTGTGCGGCTGCCGGCCAGTGATTTACCCTCGCTCAATGACGATGTGGGCGTGACAGCGACTCTATCGGCCGACGAAAGTTGTGGACTCATTGCATTTGAATTATTTGCGTTTAGATTTCTTTTATTGTTGGCATTGTTGTTGATGTTGTGGGTGGCCATAGCACCATTGGGATTGGTTGATGTGTGGTTATTTGTGCTGTTGTTGTTGTTAGTATGTTCGAACGATACATTATCACCGTTTGACGAGCAAATGGAGATAGTATCGACGTTCTCATTACGCGTACCGGCGTGTCGTTTACGTGCCAATTCCAATTGTGCTTCACGCTCCCGCATGCTGGCCGTACGTTCTGGTTTGCGCGGTGCAATCGATGAGCGAATTTCGCCTGAAAAGAAACGGGAGAAATTATAAAAATACGTATGCACTCGTTTGCAAATAAAAGTTTATTGCCATTTAATTGCCATTTAATTAAAAACGTTTTTAATAAAGTGGGGTTTAGGGATGTTGAAAATTAAAAAAAAAAATTTTCAGAATTCACCGACAAATGTTCAGAGTTCGTTAAACAAAGTCTGAAGAGAGAAGCGAAAGAATTTTTTTTCGTGATTCTAGACAAATGAGGTTATAAAACAATCTATGAGAGATCCAAATAGTATTCCAAGGGAAAATTGTTACGTTGCCATTGTGGTTATTTCGCCGCAGCCTAGTACAAGAGAAAGGAATTAAAGAGCTGAAATTCCCTTTCCCTTCTCCATGCATCTTTCTCCTCTCCATTGTTACATTTGCCATCGCTCTTAGTTGTTTAGTTCGCCTGCTGTGTCGTATAGAGTAAACGTGTGTTCGTGGTGCTCGTTACGAAAATGGAAAAACGAAATCGAAAAGCATCGGAAGACCGTCGCAGAAGACTGTTTGGAACAAGTGGAAAACAATCCCACGCTGCTTGATCGAGTTATTACCGGCGATGTGAACCGGTTTTTTCAATACGACCCGGAGACGAAACGCCAAAGCTCACAATGGTTGTCTCTATATGCCCACCGCCCGATAAAATATCGCATGAGCAAGTCGAAGGTGAAAACGATGATTTATTGCCTTTTTCAATAGCCGTGGAATCGTCCACGATGAATTACTTCCATCGTGGCAAACCGTAAATCAAATCTACTACCGGTAAGTACTCCAAAATTTGCGAAAACGAGTCTACAGGGTGCGCGCAGACAACGCTCGTAATTGGATTCCTCAGCGTGGCCCAATATTTGACTTCAAAAAGGACCGCCTTATTCGTCCGATATCTGACCCTGTGACTGTGTGTTCCCCAGAACGAAATTGGTGGTCAAAGGAACTCATTTTGAGTCGATTGATGACATTGAAGCGGCCGTGAAGAGGATACTCGCGGACATAACAGTCGAAGCGTTCCAGAAATGTTACGCAGCATGGAAAACGCACTGGAATCGTTGTATAGCTGCCCAAGGGGTCTACTTTGAGAGGATGGCAGAGGTGTGGAATAATTTTAAAAATACATTTTTTATGGAATCAGTCTCATTATTTAATTGTCACATCTCGTAGTCATACAAAAGAATGATTTGAATAACATATGTTATACACTCTATAATTCTTAAGAATGCAAATCTGGTATTCATAAGATATTCTCACGTGATATTGCATATATAAGCACAAAGTAAAGAATGAAAAACAAAAATACAAAATGTTTAGAATACCAAAGCTTAATTTGGATGCGCCACACAAGAGTTTTAAGTTTCCAAAGCTTTTGTTATATAATTTCATAGGTATTTCATTGTTTGTCTGCGAAAGAGCCGGTGAGCATGACCAATGTTTTTGAAATTTAATATTTTGTATTATTATATTTTATTTGTTATTGTAAAAATATCAGATTATTAAGTAAACTTTTTAATTAGTCTGTGAATAAACAACGCTTATACAGAAACAACTAACATTAATAATGGTCCCGAAATTAACTTTATTGACGGAATGTTTGTTGGAAATCTCATTCAAATAAATTCTCTTCCGAATAAGATGAATAATATCTTAGATCTCATTTTTGTGGATGAAAATTTAATCCTTGAACTTATAGAATGTGCTTTCCCAACTTACAAATCGGACATGCATCATGTCCCGTTGTTTCTAAGTCTCCTAAGTCTCCAAAGTTTCCTAATTTCATCTTGGTTTCATGCCGCAGGCACTCTGGAAATCGATTGAAAATTAGCTTTTTTCTTTAAAATTGTGACGGAGTGCTGTGAAACTGTCTTATCCAAACTTTACGGTCAATTTTCTAGTTGTCTTTCTTTTGTTCGCTCTGGTTTGCGAAAAGCTTCAGGGGTATATGAAACGTTTAAAAAAGTTAAAAAACCCTTGGAACAAATTTTGTAATTTATTTAAGGTCAGTAAATATCACCAACATAAGGTTAAATACTACACTGGGCAAAAAGTAAGGTGAATTTGTTTGCAAAGGCAAAAATCTTTATTTATTCTTCTACATCGATTTCGTCGCCTTCCGAAAAGTGCCCTGACGATGCAATGCATTTATGCCAATGCTTTTTCCAACTATCGATGCATGTCAAGTCAAATAGTCACGTTCTGGTATACCCTTCAGAGAGCGCACCGATTCACGTTTAATCTCCTCAATCGACTTAAAATGGGGTCCTCGAAGTGGTATATTGAGTTTTTGGAAGAGCCAGAAGTCACACGGTGCTAAGTTCGTCGAATAAGGTGGTTGGGAAACGATTTCAGCTTCCCCTGGTAGTCAGAAAGCATGTTTTCACACATATCAACGCAATGACTTTTTTCCACGAAATTGGGTGTTTTTTGGAACCAAACGACATTTGACTTTTCGTAGACCCAAATAGTCTTTTAAAATCGTTTTTTCAGATCCTTCTGAAATGCCAACCATATCAGAAAGGTTTCTAACAGTCAATCGACGATTTTTGAGCACTAATTCCTTAATTTCATTAACGTGTTGCACGTGAGTTGATGCTGATGGTCGTCCTAAGCGCTCCCGGTTAGGCGTAGATGTCAATAACAGTGCTACCAATATTAAAAAAAAAAACAGAATTAACCCGAAATATTAAACGCGCGAAGCTCAAATAAAACATTCACCTTACACTTTGCACACAGGAGTATATTCATTATCTGAAAACTTTTAAAATTCTCGATAAGTTTCTTTATACGCTATATATTTTCAGATTTGAGAGAGAGTTAAAAACGAATCCAAAAGCCTTTTGAAAATATATCCCCTCTAAAAAAGGGTGGTTCCAATATTCCCTCTTGCATGTCTTACTGTGGAAGGAGTTCTGAAAGTACTTTGGATACTGTCAATCTCAAATTCCGCAGACTTTAGATTTCGATAGTCTTTCAGTCACTAAATTGGATGTTTTGAATGGGATTGCTGCTTTGTAACTCTCTTTGGGTAGCGATTTGGATGGGCTTTCTTCTTATGTATTGGATGAGTGCATAAGTTCGTGCCCGATTTCAAGTGCAAACTAAAATTGTTTGAAGAGAGCGCTTTTATTAATCAATTATGTATTCGCCATCATGTTCGGCAATCCACTCCCAACGTTCAACCAATTTACGGATGCCTGATTCATAGAAATCGCGCGGTTCTCGTTGAAAAAGGTGTCAAGGTGGTTTTTGTCGTCTTCCACATTTTTAAATTTTTTTCCATTCAAATTGTTCTGCAGCGATCGAAACAAATGATAATCAGAAGGTGCAATGTCGGGTGAATATGGGGGATGCGGCATAATTTCCCAATTCATCTTCTTCAGTTTGGCCAGGGTCGGTTTTGCAACATGTGGCCTGGCCTTGTCATGATGGCAAAGAACTTCTTTGCGATTGGCCAAAATCGGACGTTTTTCATCAATTGCTTTCTTCAATTCGACCAATTGCTGACAACACTTGTTGGCAGTGATCGTTTCTCCATCTGTTTTCGCGAACCATTTCTTTACTGTGCGGAGTGCACATAATATGACGCATATGATCTTTTTCGTTGTCCATCTTCCATGCGTCTTCTCACTAAGCAACTCGAATTAAAATGAAGTTATTTTATGCTTGATTTACTGTTCGGACTGTCACCTGTCTAACGATATATGATATGTATATATTTCTTTCACGAGCGCCACTCTCAAACGATTCGAACGGCATCCAGCGGAATCGGGCACGAACTTATGCACTCATCCAATACTTAAAAAGAGCAGTCTATTTCCGATCCCTTAAAGTACATTTTTAATCTTTCGTTGTCGTCTGGAGTTTTCATTAATCGTTGGAAAATTACTTCTATCTCTCCGTTGTTTAAGTTTGGTAACAAAAATGATGTTAAAAATTGCAGGGCTATATGTAATTTTCGACTTGTTCAAAACTTCTCGAGAAAGTGATAACGCATAAATTTTTTTTTTGCGGTTAAAGCCACCATTAGCCCGCATCTGCATGGTTTTGTCATCGGTCCTTCTCTCGTTACAGCATTGCATCTTTTGAAAAGGCCTGTGACACTGTCCCACATTTATTGGGAAAACATCAAGACGGAGGAGCTCGCTTAAGGGGTTACCAAGATATATATATAAATATAATAAATATATTATCCACATTTTTTTAATTTATCTTTTCCTTATCTTTTATATATTTGAATGATTTCGGAGAACTTTTTGATTTTAAATTGGAAATTGTTTGCCGGCTTGAGGCCAATAAATATGTTTTATATATTTCCCAAGCCGATTACCTTTTAATCTTGATAGTAAAGAGAAATTAATGACATTCCCACAGTTTACACTTCTGTTCGCATAAGGAATTTCGTTATGATATAAATTAAATCAAAATACTTTAAATTAAATTATTGCATATAAATGTGGACTCGTATGTAAGTAAGTGTGTTCATAAGGGGACCTGGTGGCGCTCGCTTGCTTGCAAACTTCCATGCCTTGCGCTCATTGCACTCGAAAACTCATTTAACCCCAATCCAATTGTGAGTTCAGTCAAGTGAACATGCAAATATACATATGTATACGAGCATATATGAACGCTAAGCATAAATAACGTGAGTGGAAATACATACATACATACACATACATATGCAGATGCATATCTCATTTGCAGTTATTTTCATTAACCTTGTATTAACGGTAAAAACGACAAATGCCACAGCATGCAAAAATACAACATATAATACATATATAAATAAATATTTACAACATACAATACATATGTATATATAATATATTTGTATGTGTATGCACTCTCCAATGAGTTGCACCGCTGGCCAAGAATCATTAATCTTGAATTAGCCAAGTGGCAGCAGAAGCAGCAGCAAAAGCGCAAAACAAAATACTGGCGCAACAACAAAAAAATACAACAACACTACCAGCATCAACAGCAACGGCAGCAGCCGCG